AAAAAAAAAAAAAAAAAAAAAAAAAAAAAAAAAGAATGAGCACTGTTGAGAATGGAATAGGATTTAAATTGATAACATACATTTATAGAGACTTCAAGAGAGAAACAAAGTCACTCTAACAGTGGCTCACTAAATCCTCTCATCCCAGCAGCAGCATTAATACCACATCTAGAAAATGGTGACAGTAATCCCTGCCTTATAGGATCTTGATGAAAAGCCAAGACAAGAGGTGCAGAATGCCTGGCACTCAGCAGATCCTCAATAAATATACAAATGTGTGTGTGTGCATGTGTGTGTTCAGCAAAAGGGAAGTCACATAGATGGGCTTATATACTGGCATGTGAATTTACAGTTCTTGACCAATACATAAGCCAGGGAATAAGGAACCATTAATTTGATTGAATATCCATACACTGAAGTTGTTCTAGAGAAAATTAAGAGAAGGCTTTTACATTGAGCCAGAAAAAGCCTTATGTCAAGAATACATCAGAGAAAAATGGCAATACACACAGTGTCACCTGTGACCACTATCCAAAGCTTAGATACAGAATTGAGGTCAGCTCTCAGGACAATTCAAAGGTGGTCCAAGGTCACTGGGTTCCTCAGAAGCACAGGATGCAGGCCAAAGCATACCATTCTCAGGGCTGAGCAAGAGAGGGAAGTGAGCAGGTGGCGTCAGTGGACAGCCTCTCTGTTCCCTCCCAGAGGCTGGTGCTCCTTATAGGCAAAGAGGGGAAGAGCTGCTACTAATGGAAGGTTGGCCAAGAGATGGTGAATAGCACCAGGAATAAGAAAGCACTTGAGGAGAATCCAAGCTCTTCCACCTCTGGGCTCCACCCACTAGTGGCAAGGGGGCATGTGACATCAGTGTAACATAGTTCTGGCTCTCATAATTGGGGTGTTGAGTGGCTAGTAAGCCCTGAAGGCCTACAGGCCCATGTGTGGCCTAGAGCTAAGGCCCCAGAGCTGCAGCATAGGCGGTGCAAACAGACTGGCATTTCTTCTGCTAGACCCATCAAGTTCGTTAGCCAAGTGCTCCTTATATTTGGATTAATTCTGCCATCCTAGGGAACAGAAAGGCCTTGTGAAAACAGGAGATTTAAGCCCAAAGCTCAGAGGGCCTTGGAAATCTCCCCTGCAGTTCAAGTTAACTCCCCATCCGGGAAAACCGGCAGGATGTTTGCAATGTCATTTAGGAAAAGAACCAAAAGTCTGCTAATGTGAAAATGAGAAAACCTCCTTTCCATCCTGCCATCAGTTCTAAGATTTGCTACTGAATCTCCAAATGGCTTATTAAAATGGTGACCTTACATTTCTTTTTTTTTTTTTTTTAATGTCCCAAGTTTCAAATATTCTGATCTCTGCCATGACCGTAAGTCAGAAAATGTGTTCAGGTATTTTATTCAAAACAAACAACAATAGAGGTAACCAGACTTAACATAGACTACTTGGTCCAAAACACATACTCAGAGTTTTCAGAAGAATCTCTCCCATTTCTATCCTCTCAGCTTTGACCAAAAAAGATGCAGTGTCCAGAGTGAGAATATATGGATATAAGATACTTAGGTGAAAATCATCAGATTATAAATTTCATGCCATTTTATTACAAGCCAAACACATGTTAAAATGGTTGCTGATCAGCAATCCTTCCCTGGAAGTTTGAACTCTCCAATGCAGTTAGTTTTACTAGGAAGGGAGGGTGTGAGTATGGGTGGGGACTTGAGGGGCAAGGTCAGGTCCTGTCACACTTCACACCCAGCTCTCAGGACAATCTTGGGAACCTGCCCCTCCCTTACGAGAGGTGCCCTGGCTTTCCTAGGGATGTGTTACAGCCTCCAACAGAAACACGAGACAGCAAGTATCCCACTCTTGTTTCCAAGCAGCATATTTCCCATAGTGGGATTGAACATGAACAATCGTGAGTAAGTCTTTTCCTTATTTTGGGAAATAAAACCTTAGTTCAGGATGTCTAGTCAAGCTAGTCAGCTGGCAATGCCTTTTTTAATCCTAGTCCCTTCTCTCATCTCCTCCTTCCTCCTAGTCTAGGGCCTCCTAAAAATTTAGGCTTTTCAGGGAAATGGCTAATCTCCACACATTACAAAACACTTCTGTAGGTCCTGCAGACTGGAGAGACCTATCAGAGCACTTCACAATATGGCCTTAAAGAAAAAAGTGGTAGTATGTGGATAAATGAAAGCTACTTGGTTAGCCAAAAAGGAGAAAAAAAAGTTTTCTTGCATATGTTGAACACAGTACAAGGGGTCTTCAAAAGTTCATGGAAAGATCTATATTATCTTTCAATTCTATTTTTCCATGAACTTTTTGAAATATCCTTGTATTTCTCCACTCTAATGGTAGCTGACTAAATGCTCTCTTCCCAGCCACAGCCTTAGCATAAGGGCCTTCCAGACCCCAAATAAACAAACCAAAAAAAGCTGTTGGCAAATCAATGATGTGTCTTATAATAGATGATACCTTAAAATTTGCATTTAGATCATTCCACTATGGCATGACCAGGAAAGCTCACAAAACAAAAAGTAATCAGCTCTGAATATGTTTCAACTCCCAGAGCCACAGGAAGCACATGTCTGGCAATTTTAGAATCCTGGTCAGGGAAA